TACATGTCCTACCCCTCCTGTGTGTTGCTGCTCTACATGTCCTACCCCTCCTGTGTGTTGCTGCTCTACATGTCCTACCCCTCCTGTGTGTTGCTGCTCTACATGTCCTACCCCTCCTGTGTGTTGCTGCTCTACATGTCCTACCCCTCCTGTGTGTTGCTGCTCTACATGTCCTACCCCTCCTGTGTGTTGCTGCTCTACATGTCCTACCCCTCCTGTGTGTTGCTGCTCTACATGTCCTACCCCTCCTGTGTGTTGCTGCTCTACATGTCCTACCCCTCCTGTGTGTTGCTGCTCTACATGTCCTACCCCTCCTGTGTGTTGCTGCTCTACATGTCCTACCCCTCCTGTGTGTTGCTGCTCTACATGTCCTACCCCTCCTGTGTGTTGCTGCTCTACATGTCCTACACCTCCTGTGTGTTGCTGCTCTACATGTCCTACCCCTCCTGTGTGTTGCTGCTCTACATGTCCTACCCCTCCTGTGTGTTGCTGCTCTACATGTCCTACCCCTCCTGTGCATCTGTTGCTGCTGTGTCCTACCCCTCCTGTGTGTTGCTGCTCTACATGTCCTACCCCTCCTGTGTGTTGCAGCTCTACATGTCCTACCCCTCCTGTGTGTTGCTGCTCTACATGTCCTACCCCTCCTGTGTGTTGCTGCTCTACATGTCCTACCCCTCCTGTGTGTTGCTGCTCTACATGTCCTACCCCTCCTGTGCATCTGTTGCTGCTTAGTTACTTCTCCATATTTTACTTGTCAGTATATAGCACCTCAGTCTTAATACATCCTTGTAATTAAAGTTGGTAACCAGTTCCCTGTGGTATTGTGAGGGTCAGATGGTCGACCTGGAGGACTTGGTTTCTCCATGGAACCAACTCTGTGAAGTATAGTGTAACTGAAACCTCGGGTTTCCGAGGTTTCATTCATTTGCGGTTCACCGTGCCCCCCCCCCCAAAAAAAAATTAATTTTGCTTAATAATGGCCTCAAAGTGCGAAAATAGTGATGGTGACAGTTGTTTAAAGCCTAAGAGGAGCCATGAAGTGTTTCCCATCACTGAAAAAGTGATTATTCACCACTTATTGTGTGTAATGTATTAATTAAATTGTATACATGTATGAAAAAAACGACTTGTATATAAGGTTTGCAACTATCCGCAGTGTCTGGTATCCATGGTATGATAGTTCTTGGGATGTATCACCTGCAAATGTGGGGGGACTACTGTATTTACATTGATCACTTTACATTGCTTCTACTCACTGCTTGACTCGTCCTTTTTTTCCTTCGCATTCCTTCACGGTCAGGGAGGACCAATCACAATGCCACAGTTCTGACAGTGCCAGTTGTTCTACCAGGACAAGGCACGGTCAGGGGAGGATCTATTATAAAACTAGTGAAACTTAATCTTCAGGGCCCCTAATCCCTAAGGGACCCCAGAAGCGACTTCACATTACTTAAAAATTCTGGGTCTCCTGTATGAGAAAGGGTTGCAAAGGGGCCCCCATAACAGTTCAAGCTTCAGGGCCCCAAAAATCTAGGTCCCCCACTGGGTAAGGTACTACTGAGTACCTGCCTACCTACTCCCTACCACCATCATGGTTCTGGTTGCAAGGTTGACTTATTGCTTTGTTATTGCAATTGCATGAAGAACTTAAATGTTAATAGGTTGATTTTTTTGCAAAACATTAAAATTCAAACTATAAATAAAGACCTTAAATTTCTGAGCAACTCTCTGAAAGGAAATATGGAAAATCATAAAAGACACTGCCAGTCAGAGTGATGTGAGCTACAGTTGGGTAGATATACAGATACCTTAGTGAGTGTGCAAATCTTTGTAGATGTCAAAGTTAAATATATATTTCCATGCTGATACAATGTTTGTATTGCGAGCATGTTAGATAAGAGTGAATGTAGGCGAGTGGTTTTTATGACTTGATGTGCTGTTGGAGTGTGAGCAAGGTAATATTTATGAAAGGATTCAGGGAAAAAAAATCATATTTTTTTCTGCATCTTAAGATTTTAAAGCCCCCTCCCCCCTCCCAGTTGACATCCTGGCTGTGGCACTGAGCTAGGCTGACCCAGAGAAGAAGACACATTGACCATCACTCATTCATTAGCTGTCTTGCAGGCACCACAGACATCTGACTTCAATCAATCCTTCCTACTACTGTAATTTATGTGAAATCGTGCTGTTAAAAAAATTTTTTCTTTTTTTTTTTTGGTTAAATTTTTATGAGGACTTTCACCAGTTTTTAGCATATTATAATTATTGCCACTTCAGGGTATAATTAACATGTTAAGATGGTTAAATTCTGTTTGAAGATGATTAAATTATATTTGGAGTTAAACGTAGAAAATTTAAGCCATGTTCGGAAGAGACAGTACACTATACTACACAAGGCTATGCTACACTATGCTACGCTTCACTAGTGTAGTGTGGCGTACCACGCTATGCTACACTACACTGCTACGCTACACTACACTACACTATGCTACGCTACAGTACACTGCACTGCACTACAATACACTGTGCGATGCTACACAACACTACAATACACTATACTACACTACAGTACACTGCACTACACTGTGCTATGCTGCACTATGCTATGCTACACTACACTATGCTATGCTACACTACACTATGCTACACTGTTACACTACAATACACTGCACTACACTATGCTGTACTACACTACACTATGCTGTACTACACTACACTACTATCACATACACTATGCTACACTGTTACACTACAATACACTGCACTACACTATGCGTACTACACTACACTATGCTACACTACACTATGCTACACTGTTACACTACAATACACTGCACTACACTATGCTGTACTACACTACACTATGCTACACTACACTATGCTACACTGTTACACTACAATACACTGCACTACACTATGCTGTACTACACTACACTATGCTACACTACACTATGCTATGCTACACTACACTATGCTACACTGTTACACTACAATACACTGCACTACACTATACTGTACTACACTACACTATGCTACACTACACTATGCTACACTACACTATGTTACACTGTTACACTACAATACACTACACTACACTATGCTACACTACACTATGCTACACTGTTACACTACAATACACTGCACTACACTATGCTGTACTACACTACACTATGCTACACTACACTATGCTACACTACACTATGTTACACTACACTGTGCAGCACTACACTACAGTACACTACAATACCCTACACTACACTATGCTGCACTGCACTACAGTACACTATGCTACACTACAATACACTTCATTACACTACAATACACCGCAGTATATTACAATACAATTCCCTGCAATACACTACAGTAAACTACAAAAACACTACACTACAATACACTGCAATACAATACACCACAGTACACTGCAGTACAATACACCACAATGCACTGTAATACACTACACTACAATACACTGCAATACACTACAATACACTGCAATACACAATACAATACACTACAATACAATAAACACTACAATGCAATAGACTACACTACAATACACTTCAATACAATACAATGCAACACAATACAATGCAATACACTACAATACAATATGCTACAATACACTACAATACAATATGCTACAATACCACTACAATGCAATACACTGCAATACACTACAATACACTACAATACAATACACTATACTACAATACAATAAACACTACAATACAATACACTACAATACACTTCAATACAATACACTGCAACACAATACAATGCAATACACTACAATACAGTATGCCACAATACACTACAATACAACATGCTATAATACACTACAATACAATACGCTACAATACAATGTGCTACAATACAATACACTACAGTGCAATACACTACAATGCAATACACTGCAATACAATACACTACAATGCAATACACTGCAATACACTGCAATACAATACACTACAATACAATACACTACAATACAATACACTACAATACAATACACTACATTACAATACACTACAATACAATATGCTACAATACAGTATGCTACAATACAATACACTGCAGTACACTACAATACACTACACTTCAATGGTATTATGGTATTATGTATTGTTCTAGTACACAATACCACGATATTGTCTGTTGGAAATATACACAGTGCCTTACTATTGTGTATTGTTCCAGTACACAATACTGTGTTATTGTGTATTATTCCAGTACACAATACTGTGTTATTGTGTATTCCAGTACACAATACTGTGTTATTGTGTATTATTCCAGTACACAATACTGTGTTACTGTGTATTATTCCAGTACACAATACTGTTACTGTGTATTATTCCAGTACACAATACTGTGTTATTGTGTATTGTTCCAGTACACAATACTGTGTTATTGTGTATTGTTCCAGTACACAATACTGTGCTATTGTGTATTGTTCCAGTACACAATACTGTGCTATTGTGTATTGTTCCAGTACACAATACTGTGCTATTGTGTATTATTCCAGTACACAATACTGTGCTATTGTGTATTATTCCAGTACACAATACTGTGCTATTGTGTATTCCAGTACACAATACTGTGCTATTGTGTATTCCAGTACACAATACTGTGCCATTGTGTATTCCAGTACACAATACTGTGCCATTGTGTATTCCAGTACACAATACTGTGCCATTGTGTATTCCAGTACACAATACTGTGCCATTGTGTATTCCAGTACACAAAACTGTAAGTCTTCAACTTACAAACACATTGAGGACCTTCTGAATTGTGTATAATAATGATGTCATACATCATAATGATATAATAATGATATACACAATAATGATATAATGTCATACACAAAAATTCCTCAACGTGTTTGTAAGTTGAGCACTTTCTGTACCATGGTATTGCGTATTGTTCCAATACACAATTCCGTGGTATTGTGCCTTTTCTTCTTCGTGTACAAGTCAGAACTAACAGAATATTTATTTTTTTAGTCTGAGCAGTCGACAGAAGAGAAACGCAAGCAGCATCAGAAGGAGCTAGCCGTGTCCATGAACGAGGCGGCCAAGGAGCGCCTGGCACTGCTCAAAGGGAAGAAAGAGGACCAGAAAGTGCGCAAATCAACTGTGTCTTACCGTTCAACCAACCTCATACCCAGGGAGCCTGAAATTTCAGATCTTAAGATCTTTGTGGGTAAGATTCGATAAGTAAAAATTTGTTTTTTGGTTTAAGGAAGAAGAAGGATCTTGCTTCACTGGTGCTCATAACATTATCATTGATATTTAACCCTTAACCCTTTTAGGGTCGACAGGCCCTCTCCGAAACTCGTTCTCAGGGTCGGCCAAATTTAAAAAAAAAAATTATTTTCTCTTATGAAAAGATAGAGAATTTTTTCCTGATCATAAAGACACCAAAAGTTTGAAATTTGATAGAAAACTTACGGAATTATGCTCTCGCAAAGTTAGCGGTCTCGGCGATGTTTACTCATCGGCGATTTTGCCCACTTTGAGCCCCATTTTCGGCCAATTTCACTGTACTAGTCGACAAAAAACATGAATATTTCGCTTGAACTCCATTTTTTCTATCGAATGGGTGCAAGAAACCACCCATTTATAAATTCAACTATCCAGTACAGTGGTCAGAATTTAGCAATTTTGCCAATTTCACACAAATTTCAAAAGATGCCAATTTCCGAATAGGGTCCAGAATAAACAAGAAAGACATTCATGCCACTAAAATGACATTTCCTCTAGTCATTAGTCACGTCTCAAGGCCCCTCTTATATTCTTTTGCTTTCCAATTTGAATTTTTATTCTCACAAAAAATATAAGATTTACTGTTATGCAGACTACTGCATTAGTGTAAAAAATGGTATAAATATTATTGGTGCACTTGTAAAAGAATATTAGACTCACCAGTTGACGTGTATTGCACGCTTGGCACGATTTGTTTACTTTTGAAGTTTGGTAAAAATCGAACATTTCTGCTACTTTGAGCTCAATTTCAAGGCACCTTTCATTGTAAAACCAGTCAAAATCATCTCAATTTCTGTAATATGTCTTCCATTCTATAAAATGAGACCAAGAAAACTAGAATACAACAATAAATACCATACGAAAATACACTGCAAAGTCGCTGATTTATTAAAAAAAAATGGTCAGGTTTTTTTTTTCTCATTTTGCACTGTGTGCTGCAGGATTTTTTTTAGACTGTGCACACTGACCACATAGACACATTCTTTCATATGAAGGCCTACCAGCTTTCTCCCACTAGATTTGAGGCCGCTAGAATTTATGAGTACTTATTTTTTTTTTTTTTATTATCACACTGGCCGATTCCCACCAAGGCAGGGTGGCCCGAAAAAGAAAAATTTCACCATCATTCACTCCATCACTGTCTTGCCAGAAGGGTGCTTTACACTACAGTTTTTAAACTGCAACATTAACACCCCTCCTTCAGAGTGCAGGCACTGTACTTCCCATCTCCAGGACTCAAGTCCGGCCTGCCGTTTCCTGAATCCCTTCATAAATGTTACCCTTGCTCACACTCCAACAGCACGTCAAGTATTAAAACCATTTGTCTCCATTCACTCCTATCAAACACGCTCATGCATGCTGCTGGAAGTCCAAGCCCTCGCACACAAAACCTCCTTTACCCCCTCCCTCCAAACCTTTCCTAGGCCGACCCTACCCCGCCTTCCTTCCACTACAGACTGATACACTCTTGCAGTCATTCTGTTTCGCTCCATTCTCTCTACATGTCCAAACCACCTCAACAACCCTTCCTCAGCCCTCTGGACAACAGTTTTGGTAATCCCGCACCTCCTCCTAACTTCCAAACTACGAATTCTCTGCATTATATTCACACCACACATTGCCCTCAGACATGACATCTCCACTGCCTCCAGCCTTCTCCTCGCTGCAACATTCATCACCCACGATTCACACCCATATAAGAGCGTTGGTAAAACTATACTCTCATACATTCCCCTCTTTGCCTCCAAGGACAAAGTTCTTTGTCTCCACAGACTCCTAAGTGCACCACTCACTCTTTTTCCCTCATCAATTCTATGATTCACCTCATCTTTCATAGACCCATCCGCTGACACGTCCACTCCCAAATATCTGAATACGTTCACCTCCTCCATACTCTCTCCCTCCAATCTGATATTCAATCTTTCATCACCTAATCTTTTTGTTATCCTCATAACCTTACTCTTTCCTGTATTCACCTTTAATTTTCTTCTTTTGCACACCCTACCAAATTCATCCACCAATCTCTGCAACTTCTCTTCAGAATCTCCAAGAGCACAGTGTCATCAGCAAAGAGCAGCTGTGACAACTCCCACTTTGTGTGTGATTCTTTATCTTTTAACTCCACGCCTCTTGCCAAGACCCTCGCATTTACTTCTCTTACAACCCCATCTATAAATATATTAAACAACCATGGTGACATCACACATCCTTGTCTAAGGCCTACTTTTACTGGGAAAAAATTTCCCTCTTTCCTACATACTCTAACTTGAGCCTCACTATCCTCGTAAAAACTCTCCACTGCTTTCAGTAACCTACCTCCTACACCATACACTTGCAACATCTGCCACATTGCCCCCCTATCCACCCTGTCATACGCCTTTTCCAAATCCATAAATGCCACAAAGACCTCTTTAGCCTTATCTAAATACTGTTCACTTATATAGGTAGTAGGTTGGTAGACAGCAACCACCCAGGGAAGTACTACCGTCCTGCCAGATGACTGTGTAACAAAAAACCTGTAACTGTTTTGCATGATGGTAGGATTGCTGGTTTCTTTTTCTGTCTCATAAACACGCTAAGATAACAGGGATATCTTGCTACTCCTACTTACACTTTGGTCACACTTCACAGACATGCACATGCATATATATATATACATACATCTAGGTTTTTCTCCTTTTTCTAAATAGCTCTTGTTCTTTTTTATTTCTTCTATTGTCCATGGGGAAGTGGAAAAGAATCTTTCCTCCGTAAGCCATGCGTGTCGTATGAGGCGACTAAAATGCCGGGAGCAATGGGCTAGTAACCCTTCTCCTGTATACAATTACTAAAAAAGAGAAGAAGAAAAACTTTAAAAACTGGGTTGCTTAAATGTGCGTGAATGTAGTGCGGATGACAAGAAACAGATGATTGCTGATGTTATGAATGAAAAGAAGTTGGATGCCTGGCCCTAAGCGAAACAAAGCTGAAGGGGGTAGGAGAGTTTCAGTGGGGGAAATAAATTTGGGGTTAAATCTGGAGTATCTGAGAGAGTTAGAGCAAAGGAAGGGGTAGCAGTAATGTTAAATGATCAGTTATGGAAGGAGAAAAGAGAATATGAAATGTGTAAATTCAAGAATTATGTGGATTAAAGTAAAGGTTGGATGCGAGAAGTGGGTCATAATAAGCGTGTATGCACCTGGAGAAGAGAGGAATGCAGAGGAGAGAGAGAGATTTTGGGAGATGTTAAGTGAATGTATAGGAGCCTTTGAACCAAGTGAGAGAGTAATTGTGGTAGGGGACTTGAATGCTAAAGTAGGAGAAACTTTTAGAGAGGGTGTGGTAGGTAAGTTTGGGGTGCCAGGTGTAAATGATAATGGGAGCCCTTTGATTGAACTTTGTATAGAAAGGGGGTTTAGTTATAGGTAATACATATTTTAAGAAAAAGGGATAAATAAGTATACACGATATGATGTAGGGCGAAATTGACAGTAGTTTGTTGGATTATGTATTGGTAGATAAAAGACTGTTGAGTAGACTTCAGGATGTACATGTTTATAGAGGGGCCACAGATATATCAGATCACTTTCTAGTTGTAGCTACACTGAGAGTAAAAGGTAGATGGGATACAAGGAGAATAGAAGCATCAGGGAAGAGAGAGGTGAAGGTTTATAAACTAAAAGAGGAGGCAGTTAGGGTAAGATATAAACAGCTATTGGAGGATTAGATGGGCTAATGAGAGCATAGGCAATGGGGTCGAAGAGGTATGGGGTTAGGTTTAAAAATGTAGTGTTAGAGTGTTCAGCAGAAGTTTGTGGTTACAGGAAAGTGGGTGCAGGAGGGAAGGAGGAGCGATTGGTGGAATGATGATGTAAAGAGAGTAGTAAGGGAGAAAAGTTAGCATATGAGAAGTTTTTACAAAGTAGAAGTGATGCAAGGAGGGAAGAGTATATGGAGAAAAGAGAGAAGTTAAGAGAGTGGTGAAGCAATGTAAAAAGAGAGCAAATGAGAGAGTGGGTGAGATGTTCATCAACAAATTTTGTTGAAAATAAGAAAAAGTTTTGGAGTGAGATTAACAAGTTAAGAAAGCCTAGAGAACAAATGGATTTGTCAGTTAAAAATAGGAGAGGAGAGTTATTTAAATGCGAGAGTTAGAGGTATTGGAAGATGGAAGGAATTTTTGAGGAATTGTTAAATGTTGATGAAGATAGGGAAGCTGTGATTTCGTGTATAGGGCAAGGAGGAATAACATCTTGTAGGAGTGAGGAAGAGCCAGTTGTGAGTGTGGGGGAAGTTCGTGAGGCAGTAGGTAAAATGAAAGGGGGTAAGGCAGCGGGATTGATGGGATAAAGATAGAAATGTTAAAAGCAGGTGGGGATATAGTTTTGGAGTGGTTGGTGCAATTATTTTAATAAATGTATGGAAGGGGTAAGGTACCTAGGGATTGGCAGAGAGCATGCATAGTTCCTTTGTATAAAGGCAAAGGGGATAAAAGAGAGTGCAAAAATTATAGGGGGATTAAGTCTGTTGAGTGTACCTGGTAAAGTGTATGGTAGAGTTATAATTGAAAGAATTAAGAGTAAGACGGAGAATAGATGATAGCAGATGAACAAGGAGGCTTTAGGAAAGGTAGGGGGTGTGTGGACCAGGTGTTTACAGTGAAACATATAAGTGAACAGTATTTAGATAAGGCTAAAGAGGTCTTTGTGGCATTTATGGATTTGGAAAAGGCGTTATGACAGGGTGGATAGGGGGGCAATGTGGCAGATGTTGCAAGTGTATGGTGTAGGAGGTAGGTTACTGAAAGCAGTGAAGAGTTTTTACGAGGATAGTGAGGCTCAAGTTAGAGTATGTAGGAAAGAGGGAAATTTTTTCCCAGTAAAAGTAGCCTTAGAAAGGATGTGTGATGTCACCGTGGTTGTTTAATATATTTATAGATGGGGTTGTAAGAGAAGTAAT